GTGCTGTTAATAATCGCCTCAGGTTCAGCATACATGTTAATGACATGTTAACCAAACATACCAACGCCTCTGTGCACAGAGGTAAAATTGAGTTGACAATTTAGCCAAAGAGAAAACTAGATTGCTCGGGAATGATTTGGAAATAAAACTGAAACAGATAATTCTACTTACACTAGTGTAAGGCAGTGAACTTAAGTTCATAGTCCAAGCTATTTGCTTTGTTTTAAGTTTATATAACTTTGATGTAGTGAGCTACGTTTTCCCTGTTGCTGTATCTTCTGTTGCTACCATTCTTCTACAGTTACATTTTAAATGTATCTTGCAAAATAGACGATATTAACACGATGGTCAAGTCATGTGACGTCACGTTTAAGGTGGGAAGCTCAATGTTATCATGTCGTACTTCTGTGTTCCAGGTAGACATATAAAAGTTGAGAATCGTTTTCATGTCAGTTCCTCCCGATTGTTCAGAAACTACAAAGACAATCCATACAGAAACTCCAATCAGCCACCATCAGGACACAGCTAGCATTAGCATTCAGACACCTCAATGTTAATATTTACATTTTAGAATCATAGATATGATAGAATAGATGTATATTAATTTTAGGTATAAACGCTGATTGTGAACACACTGGGGCTCCAAATAAATATTTTTTTAATCGCGTTTAATTCCATTTCATATGTCGCATGTTTGAAAGTTTATTATTTTTCATTTCAAGACATATTTAGGTGTTCTTTTGATTTTGTATTTTTCAAGCTTAGGTACTTTACTTCCTGTTTGAATGAATACCTTTTTATTTTGAAAGACAATGAGGAATTTCATGTTGATCAAAAGTTATGGCATCAGGAACTGACTTCTAATTTGGATAAAGGGTACATGATCATCACAATGAAATAGTAAAGGAATAGTTCTGTATTTTAGGAGAAAATCTGTCTCCAGCGCCTCTAAAGGTCATTTAGTAAACACAATATGTCCCATGTGTGAAAGAAGAGAAGATAAAAACAACAAATTGTGGTTTCACAGGGGTGTGTATGCCAGACTTTTTACAAGCAGGGCACCTCACTTACTCTAAATGATGTCAAGGGTTTCCCTTTCTCTTTTTTCAGTCCAAATACAAAGGTAAGATAAGTTTCTATTAACCACACAGCGTGAGGGAAAGATTGTTTTCTGCATGAATTTGGATTTTTTTTTTCTAAATCTAATGTCCCTCCCCTAAAACATCTGTCAATTATCATTGTTTTAACATTTAAAAAGCAGATCAGACATGTCTCGATTTTCAGATTTAAAGATACACTTCCTCCTTTTATTTTGACCTCAATAAAAAATAGGACAAAAAGTAAACTCAACTGCAGTCTTACACCACAAACCAAAAATGTTTCCTTAACTCATCCAGCTTGGTTGAAAGAGAACCCGATCCTAGAGTCAGCTCAGCTGGAAGGGGCTCAAAAAAGATGTAATTTTGTCAGCTGCCACTAGACGGGGTGAGAGATGGGGGGAGCCAAACCCCTGCCCATAATAACCACCAGACATGACTCATTCAGCGTGGAATACCACAGCAGCCACAGACAGGTCTCTGGCAGACGACGAGCAGAAACCCGACCCTGCAGCCCAGTTTGTGAATGGAACCCAAATGAGCAAAACCAGAGTGATTTTATTAGAGCTCCTATAGGTCTCAAAGATTTAAGAGTTTTAAAAATTCATAAACGCTTGGTTTGGCTTATTTATGAAAGTTAAGAGTCTGGGAGGCTAAATATGATATTTTTTATTCATAAGTGCGGCTCAACAAAGGAAAAAGTCATTCTTTCTCGCTTGCCGTTTCTTTTCATTCCTCTTTTTTAAATTCCCTGTTGGTTCAGTGATTCTTCTGGCTACCCCCCCATCCCATCCAGTCATCCTGCAGAGCTCCTAAAAGACAGCGCAGGAACAACACATCACCTTGTCAGATACAACTGTAGCTCTGATCATCGTCAGTCTTTGCCCAGACATCCCCCTGTGGAGACCACCACTCAATGTGAAGACTAACACATGTTGGACAGTCAAATCATTATTTGCTTATGTGGAGTGCGTCCAAGGCTGGAGGGGCCTGTAGAGCCAGGAGTCTAATCTGTGGGCATGAGGAGGAACACAGAAATAACATATTGTACAACTTAAAGAATGGCAGGGGAGCAAACTGTGAGCGCTCACGTTACATGAAAACAGCAGGCAGGAAGTGTTTTGCAACAGCGGAAAATCTTCAGGTCCAGTCTGACCACCAGACGGTCACACTTCATCGGGCCTGGAGGCTGCGGTCAGCGGACGGATACCTTCTCTACCATAGGGGTTGGATATGCTGTCATGCATTTGTCTGTTGCTCCCCCTCAAACTTTTTTTTTTCTCTATTTCTCCTCCTCTTTCTCTCTCTTTGGACAAACTGGACACTTTTGTTTTTTAAATCGTCCCCCTCCCTTTCCTTACAGTTCTCTGTTTCATCCTCAGTCTCGTCTTCCCTCCCCCTGTAGCAGCCTTACCTCATTCTGTTTTCGCCCTCTTTTCTCCTCCCACTCACCCACCTTCCCCCTCAAACGTTCTCAATCCTCCATCTCTCACTCTCTTTCTCTCTCTGTTTGTGGTCAGTCACACTTAATCTACCTCCATCCATCTGTTTCTCTTCATTCGTTTAGTCTGGTCTGTTTTCCATTAAGATTACATCAGGCTTTGACCTATTAGTGCGCCGTGATCCTTTTGAAGTCATTCTGTGGTTACAGGTTAAGCTCAAAGCCCACCACTCTTCTTACTCTACATAACACAGACTGTATTTATAAGGAGAGGGTTTTTAAAACTTCTCAGCCTCCGACCAAAATGACTTTTATTTTTCCTGCAGATCATTAAATCATGCGAGCATTTTTTGTCATGTGGAGACCCGTCAGAGGAGGGCCTGCGACCCATTTTGGGTCCCAGCTCATAATCCAACCTAGCAATCTGTGAACTGGAATATATTGTTCATTTGACCTCACATCCTGAGGATTTTGATGGGTTTTTTTTCTAAATAACTTTCCCAACCAGAGAGTCTCTGTTCCTTATTAAGGTTCCTGTTTAAAGTCGGGTTGAAATCCCCAACTTAACATAATACAGACCTCTTGAATAAAGTTTTTTTTTTAAGTGTTTCCTGATAGCCTTATAGTTAAAATACAAAAACCAGGGTTGTAAGTCATATTCCAACTTTTAATATTTATTTCCATTACACTGTCCTATCTGATTACAGCTAAAATACCGCAAAAATAATCTTAAAATAATCAGTGTTTTTAGGAACAACATGCAGGAAGGAAAATATTCTTTTGATCTTATTTGAATAAATAACAGGCTGAACAAAAAAGGAAGCTTCCGAATCTTGAAATATAGCAGGATATAAATCCAATATACATCCATCTTTCTTCATTGATCCCTTATTGCCACCCTCACTTGGCAAATAATTAAGCAGTCACTGTTCATTTCCAGATGTAGATCTCGATATCATCTCTTTAACCTTAACTTTCTCTCCCTTCTTTCTCCCTGACTTGATGCCAGTGAAGAGAGATTGACTGAAATGTTAAACTGTACATCATCATTACTCCTGGGTCAGAGCGCGGGTAAGTAGCCAATTGGCCAAGTCGTGATGTTAAACTGACATCTATTGGCCGAGCTGTGGCAGGGTGGGATGTTAAAGTCATTTAGACTCATCAGGCTAAGTGGACACAGTTGAATGAGAGGTCTCGAACCTCCCCACGTCTGCTTGTGGGTAGATTTCTGCGCCAACAATTTTCAATTAGAGCAGTGGATGAGAGGACATCTGGGCTGCAGAGTGTGTGTCTGCTTGACTAATGTGTATTAATGTACGCCAACAGAGCTGAGTTCCCTCGACAAATGAACCGTACATGTCTTTTCAACAATCAGTCAATCATGATTGAGAGATATTGTGAAATTCTCAGATTGAAGGCTGACTGTTTTCCTGCAATAAATCTTGTACATTTTGATATTATACATGTTTAAAATGGCTAAAAATGACTACGGTATGTGTAATACCAAGGTGCCACTCACTGAGGTGATCGAACAGAGAATTATTACCAGTATCTGTAGATCTCCTGAACGGGGTCATTTTTCAGCACATTGTTTTGGTTTAAGAGAGAACAACTTCAGTGTTTTGGTTCACTCTCAACTCTCTCCATCTCTCATCAGTCTTTCTACAGTCTCAGCAGGCAAACACAGAACTACTATACTAAACTATTTGTTTTCTCATTTAACAACTAAATGAAGTACAGAATGTTGTAAACTATTTTTTTACATTGTCCATGACAGATTCCTAACGAGTGTTACATTTGACTGAAATTTGTCTGAAAAAACACAACTTATACTTGAACAGGACAAAATCTTTAAAGAGATCAGTGTTAGCACTTTGTCAACAGGGGGCGCCAAATGGAAACACTCAAATTTCCTCACAGGAGCTTTAAATAAAAAAGGGGAAAAAGAAAACAGAATAAAGACAGAATTTCAAAAAAGATAAAAAACAGTTTTTTTATTGATTTTTTTTTGTTGTTGAAAGAATCCGTTCATAGTGTATGCAGGTATTTATAACTTACAGTATAAATGTTTCTGTTCTTTTCACAGCTTTTTATTTCTAAAGAATACTTATTTGTGTAATTGTTTTCTTTAGTTATATGAGAATGCACACACATTTAATCTTTTCATTCATGTCTTACTGACCTCAGGTCAGTTACATTAAGTCACAGTCGAGGAGACTGATCGAAAGTGATTCCATCAAAAGGACATCACAAGTTCAAAATAGCGTAAAGCCATCAAGTCATTGACCTTTAAAATCTGCTTCAGAGGGAGACGTGGAAAAAGTCAAAATAGAAATAGTTCAAAGTTTCAAGACTATTAGAGGGTAAACACACTACTTCCCCTTCCTCCTGCTTCTGCCCCTTTTACTCCTCCCATCTCCTACCACCTGATTCTGATCACCATGCAACAACCATCGCCATAAAAGATCACCTCCATCACTGCGTCCCTGAAGCCCTGCCCCATCTGACTGACTGATGTGTATAAAGATACTTTAAGGGGTAAGTGCTTCACCTTAAATCAGCTGGATTTGTTTATCCTGGTTAAAATATTTGATCATCTCTCCTTCTCCTTCTTCTTGTGCTGCATCTCCGGTGCCATTACAGCGTTTGTGTCAGCGGAGATGTTGGCAGGTGTGTTAGCTCTGGCCACCATCCTTACAGCTGTACCAGGTAAGAGGACTATAACAAAGCTGATAACTTTTTATGTTGAGGTGTAAAACTGAACAGAAAATGTAGAAATAAGTATATTGTTTTATTACTTACTTAGAGCTGCAAAGCTCCATCATTGTCAGATAACTGTTTTGAGTTTCAGATGTTTCATACAAAAGGTAAAACAGGTGGAAACTGTTGAAGAAAGAATAGCCTGGCTTTTTGGATTCATTATGCACATGATGAAAGGTGCTGCAGCCAGGTGCCCTTGTCTTTACGCTCAAGTTATTTATAAGTATTGATTGCCTTTTGTGCAAGGTAGTCAGCCAGGCAGGCAGATAGCAGCGCAGGACGACACCACGGCTGCACATACAGGCTCATTGTCACTGCTTCAGTTTTATGTGTCGCTCTGTGAGCACATCCAAGTTGTGGTTTGACAAGTTTTACTCTGAGGAGCCTCTCTGAAGGAAAGATTGAAATTCACAGTTCTTTTAGTTTTCAAGTATGTATTCCCTAATCTGTTAGTTTTAATTAAGATTTTAAACCGTTACTAGTCCTTGATGAAATAAAAATAAAAATTACACATGAGCACTAATGGTGAACAGTGTAAAAAGATAAATCAGAATGGAGAAGATCTTTATCTTTCATTCTCTTTTTTTTTATACTTTGTTTTTATTTTTTTCAAAGAGTTGCTTCATTCATATGGTCATTTCATTTCAACAAACATGTTTTCAACAAAAGATGTTGAATGAATTTTCTTTTTTTTATTATATATATAGTTATATATATATTTTTCTCTCTCTCATTTCATTGTTTGGATGTGTATGTATGTCTGTGTATTCATTTCTAAAGATGTTGCTTCTTTTCTTGGGGGTAGTTTATTTTCTTGATATCTTTCATTCTCAAGTTTTTGGCACTCATACTGTATGTTGTATATATTGTATCCTATCCTATCATGTTATACCACAATGAATCATATCCTTTCCTATCATTTCATATTATATGACATTGTATCATATCGAATTGTATTTTATTAAATAATTTATACTGAGATGTACATCGTATTGGATCCTATCATTCCACGCTGTATCTTTATGATCTTCATTTTATTTGTTATTTAAATTGTCTTACAGGTATCCAGAGCAGGTGGAGTGTGACATTTTCTCGAAGGGAGATCTGTGTGTGGGCAGGAACAACTGTAACTTTGCCCTGCAGATATGACTACCCTTCAGGTATAAAATCCATTAGTGATCCTTCACCAGAATTCATTTGTGTTTTCATACAGTGATTGGCAAAGTCTAAAAGTCTCTAAATATTATATATCTAAGATCCATAAACCTAAACCCCATAAAGCCTGATTATGTTTCGCTCCTTTTGTCTCTGTTATTTGTTCATGTAACATTTACTCACAGGCTCTGCTATGTTTTTCTCCACAGGTCACACTGTGAAGAGGGTCATGTGGTTCCGGGTTTCTACAGACGGTCGCAGGGAGTTTACTCACCACACGGACCCAAACCAGATCAGCCTGTCTTACAGAGGACGTACACGGTTGGAGAAACACGCATTAATGTTTAAAAGCTAATTTACAAATATTACAAATGTAAAATATATACATAAATGTTTGACAAATTAGTATTTGGTTCCAGCTACATTGGGGGAAGCTACTCCAGCTGTTCAGTCCAGATCCGGGTTGTGAGACTGAGTGATGCAGGTCAGTACCACTTCAGGTTTGAGACGGACCAACCACTGGGGAGATGGACCTCCCCCAACACCATCACTCTGGATGTGACAGGTTAGACGTACACAAACCATCACCCAGATTAACTGATTTGTAAAAGTTCTGCGCTGGGCTAAAACACCCATTCTTTTTACCTCGATGTCTTCCTATTTCAGACCTCCAGGTCCAGGTCCATCCAGCACGGCCCTCAAACATGTTTGGATTTGGTGAGACTGTGTTTGTCGGCTGTCAGGCTTCAGGATGTGCTGCACCTGGAAGGAGCCTTGCTCTGTACAGGTGAGTTATATGTGAGAGTATAATGGGTCAGCCAAAAAGTGGTTCAGAGCATATTGTATTAAAAGAATATGATTATATGATTTTCTGTAGGAATGGACTCAACCTGGGCTCCTATGAGAAATGGATGATTATAAACCGATTTGACCTGCAGCACGCTGGAGCATACAGCTGTCGACCGATCCCACCACAGAACGTCCAGTCACCCTCTCTCTCCCTCGCTCTGGGACGTGAGTCATCAAAATCAAACAATCAAAATGTCAGAAATTAAAAAAACACAGAAATATGAGTCGCTTAAACTATGAAATTAAGACATTTTAAAGATGTCCACCGAAGAGTGATCAAAGAGAGAACTGCCACTTTTCCTTATAAAGGGCAAAATAATTGAAAGTTTGTTATTCTGCATATTGCGTTCCCTCCATTTCTTTCTCATATTTTTATTTTCCATCCCTCCCATTTTCAATTTCTTCCCTTGCAGACACTCCTCGCTCCACCTCCATATCAGTCTTTCCTGTAGGGGAGTTGTCAGAGGGGGGATCAGCCACTCTGACCTGCAGCAGTGATGCAGCTCCACCTGTGGAGAGCTATGCATGGTTCAAAGGTATGAAACAGCATGTTGCTATTGTGTTGCCCAACATAATAGAGGTACTTTACTCTTAATGTTCACTGGTTTACTTTGTTCAGAGTTTCTTCCTGCAGTCGGAAAAGGAAATATCCATTAATGATTTGTTGAAGCAGATTGGTAGAGGTGTATGTGGATACTAATGAACAACTGATGTTTTGTGAGTTTCCTGTAGAGTTGCAGAATATCTAAACCGTTTGCTGTTTATGCATACTCTTAAATGTTAATGTGAATTTGTGTGTGAACTAATTTGGCACACATGTTTTGGCTGTTCAGCACGAGTCTAGTTCTGCTCACAGTTTCTTCTTGACAAAAGGAAGTTTTTCCTTACCGCTGTTTCTTGTTAAATTTTGCCAAGTGTTTTGCTCGAGGTGGATTTATTTTGGGTCTCTGCTTTATATAACAACCGCACGGTCTAGACCTACTCTTTTTGTCAAGCGTCAGAGATATACAAATAAAGATTGACTGATGTGTCTTCCTTGCTCTCCAGATATGGAAAGCGGCAGCATCCCAGACAGTTTCAGGCCTCAGCTCCTCCTGCCTCACCTCAAATACACAGACAGAGGAGAGTATTTCTGTGTAGCAAGAAACTCATTGGGAACTGACCGCTCCAAATCCCTCCTGCTCAATGTCACCTGTAAGCCATACTGGAGGTTCAAACAGCTGCACACTTTAGAACAGAAAAAAAAGCTTTTCTTAGAAGTGTAAGGTCTGCTGCAGGTTTATATCTTAGGTCCTTGTTGTGTAAATCTGTCTGGGGTCAGTCTGGGTTAAACTGATGAGGAAACAACTCTATTGTAATCAGGACTCTTCTATCATGTGCATTTAGAAGGAAGTGATAAAAACAGAAACTACTGACATATTACTTTTGGTTTATACATGTACAAAATAAAAGTAGTAGAGCTAAAGTGATGCATCAACTAAGTCTTCAAGCAGAAAATAATCTTTTGACATTATGAAACATTCACCTGTATCATATTGCAATAACATTTTTTTTTGTCATTTTTAATGTGTGATTTAGTCTCTCCTGGTACTTGTCCTTCCTACCTGACTCATTTTTTTTCATAACTAAACTGAAAGTATCAGCAGACTTGTTCTTAAACCTTTCCTTGATTTATTTTTTGTTTCATTTTTTAACTTGATTTTTGCACAGTCATTTTCATTTTTATACTTTTCTGTTACACTGTTGTGGGCTGGGGAAAATGTCATTTTTAGTCACATAAGGGAACTGACAATTTATCTGAATTTAATGAATCAAGACTTGACTATATTTCGAATCTTCTGTTTTTAAGTTTGTTGATTTTCAAAGCCATACAGGACGTATGCACCAGCATCTGTTTCACACACATCACACGAAGGGATCAAACATGAGCTTATGCTAAAAGTTGTTTCCTCCTCTTCCGTCTGCCTGTTTAGACTCTCCAAAGAACACGCGTGTGCTGCTGAGTCCTCCAGGGGACATCAGAGAGGGCTCGTATGTAAACTTGAGCTGTGTAAACCAAGCCCACCCTCCTGCTAGCAGGTACAATCAATACTTCTCCTTTCTTTAAAAAAAATAAAGGATTTAAATTATTCTGCCATGGTTAGCATCAATCTTAAATTTGTCTTCGTCATCTGAAAACCTATTTCTCTTTTATTTTTTTTATTCACTTTAAAAGTGCAGACTTTTACCTTATTTCAAGGTGTTGTGAATAAGGAGTTGACAATGTGAAAAAAATTAATATATTCATATGAAAATGGTGTTTTTGAATGTGAATATGATGGAAATCATAAACAACAATTTTCCAGCCCTATGATCATTTTCATCATATTCTCCATGTACTCTCTTGTAGGTTTGTTTGGTATCATATTGTAGGTGATCAGATGATGAATAAAGGAAACGTCCAGAATCTGACGTTCCCCTCAGTGCGGGCTCGTCACACTGGTCAGTACTACTGCTCAGCATGGAACCGGTTAGGATACCAAAGCTCCCCTGTGGCTACACTCACAGTACTGTGTAAGTGCAGGTCTAAGTTTTTCCATTTGGTTCAATGTACTGGTATGTATCTAATGAACAGAATGTCATTTATTCTCCTTCCACTACAGATCCTCCTAAGAACACGTCTGTTCTGGCTCGTCCCTCCACTGTGGTGGACGCTGGCCGGCCTTTGACGTTGACCTGCAGCAGTCAGGCTAACCCCGCAGTGGACAACTTCACATGGCACCGTCTAGCTCTGGACGGGGGCTCTGTACAATGTTAGCATCTTAAAAAATGTGGTTCCACTCAAGGTTAACATTAAGAAATCATCAACTCTATAACCACTGGATAATGTTTGCAGTCAGTAAGGTGTTGCTCTTTGTGTGTTTCTGGACTGTCTGTTGGTTTGGATCCTCAAACACTGTCAGAGTATATTCTCTCTCTGTGTGTGCTCCCTGTAGCGTGGGGCACAAAGTCCGGGCCTGTCTTCACCTTCTCAGAGGTCGGCCCTGGAGAGAGCGGTCAGTACTACTGCGAGGCCAGGAACCGAATCGGAGCCCACAGCTCTCCTGTCCTCACCGTACGAGTCAGAGGTAAAAAATGATACATGTATGGAAAACGTGTAACTGAAAGCAACTTTGGAGTTTGCTTAAGTTGTATAAAATTTTGGAAGGACATTTATGGACTCTTGAGGATGAATCCCACTAACTTTGAAGGCTCCACCATAAGGTTCAGATTTGCAGTTTTGAGCGGAATTTGTCTTGGTGATGGAACTTACAACTCTTTACCGAGCAATGGCTCTATACCACTCTTTCTTTCTGTTACCTTTTGAGTTAAGTTCTTTTTCTTTCTTGCAAACACATTTTGGTCTCATGACTGGCTGAGACCAAAATGTGATGTTACACACTGATTTGAAACTACCACTGTGGCTAAGTGGTAGAGTCAAACGTCTCTTAACTGTAAGGTCCAGGGTTCGATCTCCAGCAGCCACAAGTTGAAGTGTCCTTCAGCTAGACACTGAACACTGAGTTAAAGTAATAAAGCTGCACAAAGATATGGAAAAACATTATACGTGCTAAACAGCATGTTAGCATTGCCATTGGTAGAAACTTAGCATGCAAATGTTAGCATTTAGCTGTAAGCACAACTAAGTAAATACAGCATCACAGAGCATCGAGTAAAAACTAAAGACTCTTGTAAATGTATATATAATTTCGTTGGAAACAACACCCAGGAACTGAGTTGACCAACAAAAGCCAAAAACATAAATGAAGTGATGAATTGTTGACTGGCATGTTGGTTACACCCTTCCCATCTTTGGACGTGTCATGGATGGGATGAACTGTCACTGATAAGCTCAGTGAAACCCTCCTACCTCCTGTGTACATCTATGTTTCTGATTATCTCAGACAAGGACCAAAAAGAAGAGATTATTCTGAGGTTATAGCTCACAGGATGTTAGGATGGGTCTGATGTTTGCTCGGAGTGATGGGTGATGAGACCTCCCCTGTCTCTATTACAGCATGGGTCTAACTCCTCGCTGCATATGGTGTCATGGTTTCTGACTGTTTTTATGAGTCATTGTGAGTCATGTTAATCTGTCTCACTATGAGGAGAGAGGACAGGGTGATGAGGTGTTGTGGAAAACTACTATTTGAGTCTAGACAGCAGAAGTTGTGGAGTTCGGTTTGGAAATCAGAAGTGGAAACATAAGTCTGAAGTCTAGACACTTCAAAGATGATGCACAATGTTTTCCTCTTTCTTCACTTTCTCGCTTTCTATTTTTATGGTTCTGTTATTTTTATAGCTTGCTGCACTTCTATTTTTATTCAACACAAGTAACCTTCAGTTTCTCTCTTCTACTTGATGTTAGAAGTCAGGCTGATCAACTGTCTTTAAACCGGCAGGTCGTCTAAAGGTCATCGCCCTGGCGTCGGCTGTAGGCGTGTCTGCTGGACTCATCACTCTCACTGTGGCCATTATGATCAGGTGACAGGAAGTACACTGCTATTTAGTCAGTGCTTGATAAGCAATTTTTGCACTAGTGGACATACAACAAAAATTCATTCTATAAGCCTACTCTCTGTTTTGTTTAGGGAAGAAGACCCCAAAATGTAGTTCCCATTGTTGTTACTTTTTGTGTTCAGCACAATTTATTCAGTGTCTTGTGGATTTGCACCACATTTTGATCTTCAAAAAGTCAATTTCATGGTTTATATGAATCACTTTTGTGGAAGGAGTCATCACTTCTTAATAGTTTGATAATACTGTCCCCATGTCTTCACAGTAAGAACATGCACAGAGTAGACATGGAGACAGGAGAGGTACCAAACAAGGTAAAATATTCGACATTTTCTGATGTCTTAGGTGAAAAACACATTTTCAATACTTCCAAAACTGTGCAGTATTCCATCATTATGTATAACTTCTTTCCTTTTATTTACCGTGTGCATATGCGTGTGTCTTTGTGTGACCCCAGCGTCCATCAGTGACAGCTGACACCATGTTTTACGAGTTAGCCCAGCAGAGCTTTCCAATGAGGAAGGGCAAGATGTCCGACATACCGGTACACAACCAAGTAGACCCTCGCAGACTCTTCTATAATATTGTGAAAAGAAAATAGGTAAACTACATCAATGCATTTTATCAAAGTGTGTCTTTGTGTTTGTGTGTGTGATGCAGGAGGAGCCAGAAGACTTGAGTGACAGCTGCCACCCGGCCATCGTCCCCCTGAAGGATGCCTCTCCAATCACAGAAGTTGAAAGTCGAAGCCCCGCCCCCAACTGCATCACTGTCCATTACTCCAAATTGTCCAGGTAAACACAATATTTTGGAGCTATCCGTCAGCCATGTGTCATCCATGTAGTTGACTTTTGGCATTTTTTGTGTTTTCGTATAAGGTGGATATCAAATTAATGATTAATTATTATTAATTATTTGTATTTTATTGAGAAGACTTGATTTTATTTCAAGTGTTTTTGGTAGAACTGGGTAATATTGCTGTGGGTATGGTGTATATTTGTGGGCAGGTGTTCAATAAGATTGGAGGGCTTGACCACCCTGTGCTCCATTTAATTTGAACATTTTTGTATGTTTTGATCAATTGAAAATAGAAAGATCGACACTACATCCACCTTTCTCAGTCTCTGAATAACTCATCGATTCTATATCTGTTTCTCTCTGCTTCTGACTCTTTTATTTTAATATTTTTTCCTTCCTTTTCTGTCTCCTGTCTGCACCATCTGTCTCCCTGCAGACTGTCGACCCCCTGACTAATCTACTGTTTCGTGTCTTGCATGTCACTGATTTTTATTTTACAGCTACACTGGCCCTCTTCCTTTCTTCTTTATCTTCCTGTCATCACATTCTCTATGCTTTCCACTCCTTGTCAGTTCAGCTCCGTCTTTACTCTGTCGTCTGTGATATCCAACACCTCTGTCTGTTTAAGAGAGGATAATACATTTCTCATCCAGTTTTGAAGGTTAAAAAAACATTTTAATGGACGTGGAGTAAAACAAAGACTTGTTTTTACGGTGTGATTTGACTCATATGTGGAGAAGAACTCATGTGGCTGCTGTTGTTGCTGCCGTCGGTTTCAGCTCAGAACATGTGCAGGTCCACAATCTGCCACGAGGGGGAGACAGAAAGCCCAAGGATTCATCCAAAGTTGTTTACACTTTGCTGCAGCAGCCATGCCACTAACAGCAAAACGATGGCAAATCAGGTATGAGACATTATAACTTTCAGTATTTACATTTCCAAATGAACAGCCTGTCAAGTTTTTTTGCTTTTGGTTTTCTTATTTTTACTTTCACAATAACCTTCTTTATTTATTAATTTCCTGTCTTACCTGCTGCTGTTTCAACTTTCTACCTACTTTATCTTACTAACTTATTTATTGACTTAATTACCCATTATCTATTCTCCTCTTCCTCATCTGAACAACACAGCACACCTGATGTGAACCGATCCATGTACTTCTCAGACTGTGGGACAGGTCAGTCGCTCCTTGTGGACCCGGATGATGCCTTACTGTGCGTGTGCGTTGTAGGCCTGACATGTTTCATCTGACCCTGAGAACAACTTTGGGCTGTGGTCCAAAACTGTGTTGCATGTCTTTTCCTGTTTTTGTTCTATGCATCTAACCCCTGTATGCACCCTGATGAAGGACACATGCTTCAAACAATTGTCTGCCACGTTGCTTGATCCACCCTACATGCTAAATACAGTACAGTATACTGCTGCTTTTAAGTCGATGGATGAAAAGGAATTTCCCAAACCTATAATTATTCCAAGCCACAAAGAGACTGGTTGCTATTTCCTCAACATTGAACTATAATTGTTTGTATTAGAATATAGTTCCTTTGTATAGATACTTTAGTGTCAGTAATCTGTAGAAAATAATTTGACATTTATGAAGAATGTGTAATATTTGACACATTCAGATGTTCACACTTATAGTGGACTGACCTATAGAGACGCTCATTTTGACTGAAAATAATGAAATATAATTACATAATTGGAAACAACAAAAAGTATTGGTGCTTGGAAGTTTGTTGGAATTTTTTCAAGTGAACCAAAAAAAAAAACAGGCGGTAAAGCTTACCGAAGTGAGGAGTGACAGTAAGGAAAGTTAAAGGGTTAAATCATTGAGATTGTCTGAATTCTCATAAAAATGTGTCTCAGGATTATAAAAGAGAAAATATCATATCTCTCTTACGCGTCAGTTTCTTTCTTACAGTTTGACTGACAGTATTTGTTTTGGTACAATGATGTGATAAAACGTAGATCCTGATGGTCAGCCATGTTTAACAATAGTGGCAATAAAGAGTTGATATCAAAAACATTAACGTGTTGTTTCTTTTCTGTTTAAACTCATCACACACAAATAATTGAGTGTAAAATAAAAATAAATGGTTTTTTTCTTATACTTTTTCCTTCTCTACTGTGAGGATTTCTTACGACTTCAAATTAAATATTGTTTGACCAGTTTGTTATGAAACACAGAGAAAATCTTATATCGGCTTCTCTATATATTTACTGAGCTGAACTGTTTTATGCTCATGTGATTTTAAATGTACAGCACAGCATTAGAAAGGATTGTTTTACCCAGACATTTGAGAATGTTCCAGATGACACATGTCAGTAAAGGGACATGTTTCTACGTTTGTGTTGTGTTTCACTTACGGAAACTCATGTCACACTCCTTACAAAATTCAGGAACCCTCTTCTTGCAATGCAAATCAATTATAATAGCACTCAGTTTCCAAACATGAACTTTTTGTCACCTCAATTTCTCACTTTGTCGCAGACTTTGTTTCACATGTTGCAGAGGAACTGTTGAGTGTAGTAAATGTTGTGCAAAAAAACCTTCCTCTCTTCATTTGAAGCTGAGATGTTCAATGTCGGTTGTGTCATTTGATTGATGTTATAAGACAACATTTGAAAATGTATTTAATCAAATTTAAGTGTTTATTAATGTTTAAAAAAAATCAATTTGAAGAAGAAGATATGCCCGCTCATCAAAGCTTGAATCCATCATTATCACCATCATGAATACATTTTAAAACAATGATTTATTAATCTTTTCTCTTCCTCAATATAAGCTATTTGACGGCAGAGGGAATAGAGTTCTTCTGCACTCACCAATAACAAAGCCTTTACTTCTGATACACACATAAACACACGTTGAAAAGAAAGATTCTGGAGGTCATCAACAAGAGGTCAACACATTATGCAGGCTGCAAATAAAAAGAAACCGTTGTCGAAGAAAGACATGACAACAACTAAAAGCTAATCATACAACCACATCTGTCTAAAAGTGACATTTGCAAAAGAGGAACATGTTTAATTTAGCATCCAGTTTTCCTTTTGGAAACCCACCAGTGGCGGATATTGGTTACAAGGTCCAGTAAGACCACCACCCTGTGGCCTAAAATAGATCAATGGTTTTAAATAAAAGTGAAGTTAGCTGTTACTGACATGCTGATAGTTCAGACAAATCTCAGATCTTATACTTTAAACCTGGTTCCATGCAGGATGGTCACTTCATGACACAAACAAATGATGTGCAGGTTATAAGTAAAGCCTTTCTTTATGGAACTTCTAACTTTATCTTACTCACCCTCCCTCTCTCATAGTTATGCAGCCTAAGGAGAATAAGTCTGGTATTTTAATCGTTTTTTGTATTGTATTTTGTTGTGTTGTTAACAACTGCAGCAACAAACTTTTTTTCTTAACTGCTTTAGTTTGTCTGATTATATAACATCCAGATGTTTTTACAAGAGAAAAGGAACCTTAGTTTGGGACAGTCAACAGAGATGTTGATGAATGTAATAGATGATGCCTTGTTAACTTGGTGTACCCCCTCCACCTGCACTTTGTAGGTCTCTCACTGATTTCATTTTACACAACATCAAAAGTGACGTTCCTTGATTTCCCCATGAATATTCTTTTTAATTGGTTTATTAATCATTTGATCAAGTGGGAACTTTTTTGCACTGAATTAGCTAAGTGGCATTTTCTGATGGCAGGTGACCAATTTTTAGTCAATCTATTTACAATTTCACAGTAAATTTAAGGTATTGTTTTTGTCTAAACTTGTTTTTTCTCTGTAGATTTAGTTTAGTACAAAATTGGATTTCTCCCTGGGGAAGCTTTACTGTAACTTCTTGCATAGCAATTCTTTCAAAGCACCTTCCTCAATACGGCCAACTTCTGCTTTTCACCACACAAAATAAAAGTCAGAGAAGAAGACAGGGACAGCATTGTGTCTTCTTGGTGAGTATGTTTATCTTTAATTTAATATGTGCTTAATCATGTTCACAGACTGTATAGTAAAATGTATTCTGTGTCATGTTGTTGCAGATTCATTTTAACAGAGCTAATGGAGAGTTCGATTCTGATCATTCTGTTCATTATCCCAGGTAGGGAAACTTTTATTTTGTTTACATTTTTAATTCTGTATGGTGTCTGTTATCAAATAATAATGCAGCTTCTGCCAAATACTTGGAAATGTACTCATTCAACTCATACAGTCTAATTAGAGTATTTTATGTTATTAACCCATGATCCTGTGGGGAATGAGTTTTCAATGTGTCTCTTTTATTATTTTTGCTCAAAGGTGTCTGGAGTGGAAACTGGGGTGTGACCTCTACGGATCAGTGTGCTCTGAAAGGAACATCAGTGTTAATAAAGTGCGAGTATGACTATCCTTCTGGTCTTGTTGTCACTGGAGTGGCGTGGTATCAGAGACAGAGGATATCGGGACTGGTTCACCTTTCAAAGATACGTTCAGCCCCTGATCACTTTAGATATGTGGGCAACAAGTGGTCTAACTGTAGTCTGAGGATTAATGATGTTCAAAGCTCCGATGCTAGAGAATACTATTTTCAATTTAAGACAACCTTAAACAATAAATGGTTGAGCCAGAGACCTGCTCTTTTGACTGTCACAGGTAAATATTGAAAACAATAAAAAGTCTTCTTAATGTGGTTGTTTGTATTGGTTTCATTAAAAGGGTTCTGTTTGTGTTTCTCAATTAGAGTTGACTGCTTTTGTCGAGCCGAGCACTGTGACAGAGGGAGATTGCGTCAATCTGGCCTGTGTGTCAGGGTGTCCTTCACATGTAGACGTAGTTTGGTTCAAAGACGGACAACCTGTAGCAAATCCAATCTTTCAGGCCAGGAGAGAGGATGCTGGGAGGTATTACTGTGCCGTCCAGGGACAGGAGATGATTCGATCTGCCTCTGTGGCTCTCAATGTTCAGTGTAAGCATGTAAACTTAACACCCAGCTTTTGAAATATACAACTGCCTGTCATTTGTAATGTGTCACAGTTATTTTGAATCCTGAAGTGAATCTTACATTTTCTCCCTCAGATGCTCCAAGGAAAGTCTCGCTGTCAGTGAGTCCATCATCAGAAGTCCTCAAAGGGAGTGCGGTGACCTTCACATGCAGCAGTGATGCAAATCCAACCGTGACACACAACGGATACAGCCTGCATAAAGATGGACATTTGATCAGTTCAGGAGCGAATCACAGCATCTCTGACATCCAGCCAAGCTACAGTGGACTGTTCTGGTGTCAGGCCTGGAATAACATCAGCAGGAGGGCCGTGGACCTGATCAACTCTACTGCGGTTCACCTTGACGTACAGTGTAAGTTTGCTTGACATGACACACTGCGTTCAATGTTTTAGCTGTTAAAGAAACTGTTTTGCTACAAATGCAATCTTTATCTTAGCCTTTTGTTGATCTGCATTCATGTGGGGTCAAAAATTCCCCTGACAGAAAAGGAAGGAGTTCAGTAAAAGTGTAAAATGATCTGGGAGTAAAAGAAGGTTCAGACCGTGCTGCATTCAGGTGTCAGAATAATTGTTAAAAAATAAGTTTCCACTTATTGCCCCATAAAAAATAATGCAAACTTCCCCTTAAAGAAATTGTTTCATGACAAAGAACTACCAAGTGTGAGCTTTGGTCTCTTTAAAATGTTGACTTAGAGAAGATTAATCACATAAAACTGAGCTCTGACAAGTTCATAATCAAATGATTTTTTAACGTGTAATTATCTTTGGTTTCCAACCTTTTAGCACTGTGACCCATTATCAGTTATAACACATAATGTCAGATTATAGCAGTAATCTTAGCAGTTATTTACTTTAGATTGTTTTGTTTGAAGGACTTTGGGTGCCTAAGAGGTGAATTTGAAAAGAAAAACAACTAAATTAGGAGAAGAAACAGATTAATGATTTTAAAATAAACAAGTATTAAATGTAAACACATGTATTGTTTGTATTTATTTCAGACCCTCCAGTGAACATTTCTGTGTCAATGGACCCTCCTCATGTCACTGAGGGCAGCAGTGTGAATCTGACCTGCAGCAGCTCTGCTAACCCTGCAGTACAAAACTACACCTGGTTCAGGAGGACAGCTTCTCCCAGCTCCGGCTCGAGCTCCATCTTCCAGGTGGGCTCAGGACAGGTGTTGTCTCTCCCCTCTATGGAGGTGAACCACACTGGACTCTACCTCTGCCAGGCCAGGAACACAGTGGGGGAAACCAACTCAACTGAGGTGCTGCTGACCATAAGTGCCAAAAATCATGGTTTGTACCTCTTAACTGTTATTGTTCATCATTAAGAAAAGATGAACTGTTAAAAATCCTGATAGGAGAAGTTTCATTTAGTCATTGATACTTATTAAAAACATTTCATATTTCATCTTTATGTTGTACTAAGAAACCACTCTTTGTGCTTTTCCTCAGGTGGTCAGTCTGTCCTCTTCTTGGCTGGAGTCGGAGTCTTTCTTTTCATTGCACTTGTGCTCACTGTTTTTTTCTTCTGGTTAGTCCCGTGATCAAAAGATGCAGACTTATGTTTGCATATTTTTGCATCTCTTTTCAAGATGTTTTGTAACTTTTCACCCAAAGTTGTCATTGTTGAATGTGTAATATAGCATGTGCTCTGTGTGTCATCTTTGTTTCCATTCTGTTTTAACTTCTTACAAAGATTACACATGCCATCGCCTCAGGGATATAAATATATTTCATGCCCTGAAATAATTGAAAAAAGTTGTAATTTTGTTTTCTGTTAGGCATACTGTTAGGAATAGGTTATAATGCTCCAAGCTGTTAATGTTATTATTGGCTTATATTAATAGGGCTATGGCTATATATACACAAATATAATTTATTCTCACACACTTCTAGTTTTCTGCAGCTCACCTCTGACAAACAGAAAGTGAATATGTGTGCTCTGAGCAGTGATGTAATCACAGACGCTCCACTCAGAGCAGAGCGTCTGTGATTCCTGTTGTTACAGAACAACTTCCTGTGAAATGTGACATAACAGTTTGTGCAACAATGGTTTTTTTCAGCCTGATTTATTAGTTTATTTGGGTTTTTCTTGTCTTGCTAGGAGGAAAAAGACTAACTACACAGTAAAAAAACGTGAGTACTTCATATATGTTTTTATTATTTATTCATGACAAAAAGACTATTAAATGTGGTAAAACCTTTTTCAATGTCATGTAAGTCTGTGCTGCAGCATTTAGTGAAAGAAGTGAAGTACATTAAAATCAGAACTTTATGTTACAGCATCACAAATACATTATCAGAACATAGACTTATGTTGATCCAAGTCTACTCATTACAGTCTGCATGAGTTGCTTTGATAGACTCTTTTCTCTTCCTCAGTCTCCAACATCTCCTGAAGATGACGTAATGTACTCAACAGTGACCATCAAACCCAGAATCCCAGATGCTCCACAACACATGAACAACAACAGAGCCATGAGGGACTCCGCGTAAGTTCACTGTTAAGTTCATGTTTTTAGTCTTTGGTCATTGTTTTTATACAGATGTATAACCAAGTAGCAGAACCTTTGACCTTTAATGAGAATTATGACACATTTCTGTTATTAGACACAATATCACAGCAAAGGAGTTCTTGAGAGCAAAATACCTCCTACCATAAACTACCCAACAGTGTCTTGGTTTGGACATCTTTACTTTCTCTCTGTTAAATCATTTGATAACTTGATTTAATTAGAAAACTCTTTTTTTCAAATTGAATGATTTTAATTCTGCCAAATATGCAGGACAAATGAGAAACTAACTAAATTAAAAATCAAACTTCGGTATGACCTTATCAGACTTCAGTCAGAGTGACATCTTCAAATAAAACAAACAGGTGATATTGTTTTCTCCTCAGGTCCAGAGCGGGAGAATATGAGGATGCTGTGATCTACGCCACAGTGGCTAAATCCCGCTGAGTCTGACTGACACCTTCTCCACCTGAGTCAAAATCAAAACCAGCGAGTCGTCATTCATGTAATGTAGCAGCATGAGAAGATCAAAGCTCAGTCTATGAGGGGCTTATCAGTGAGGTTTAAGATCCTAGTCTTAAAACCACTTTCATAAATTTTCAACATTTTCAACAGTATCAGTGACAGTATTTATTGTATTAAGTTATATTATTATGTTATTTCAAGTTGTGTATTTGTATGTTCTTACTACTCTATTCTCTATTCTTAAAAACTTTAAATATGGATGATTAAAAGATATGCTTTTATATAATACAGTATTTGTTCTCATGTTGTGTACCTCAGTATAATTGTTTTTCCATTTTTGTAGTTTGTAGAGTTAAATGTTTTATTAAGTCTTTACTCAAATACAATACTCAATGACATAATTCACAGTTTACAGTATTTATTTCATCACAATTGCTATAAATGTACATACATGGATTTTTTTTCAAAGGGGGAACAGGTAGTGAATTTTCTGGGGTTTAAAGAAGATAAGTTAAATGATGAGAGTTAGTTGGGTTCACATCTCTTTACATCATCCTTTATTCAGAAGAGGTGCAGGTGCAGATTCAGATTCAGTGATGTTTGCATTCTGCATTAACAGACGAATATTGTATTTTTGATAACATTTCTTGACAGGCTCGCTGTAGTGTATCATTTGTGTATGCTCACACTCTGAGTTTCTTTCAGTCACTAATGGTGTTCCACAAGGTTCAATCTTAGGCCCAGACAATTTTTCATTAATAAAATGATTCCATTATTATCTAGCGAACATTCACATGCTCACTTATATGCAGATGATACAATATAGTACTGTATTGCTAATTCTGCTCAGCTTGCCATGGAGAACCTGCAACATTCCTTTAATGTTCTCCAAGTTGCACTAAATGATATTTAATTGGTTTTAAATGTTCAGAAAACTAAATGCATATGGTTTTCTGAGCATAAATATATTGGTATATTGATAGATGACAGACTAACATTCAAACTTCACATTGATAATCTTACTGTCAAACTACGACAAAAGATTGGTTACCTAGAAATAAATCAAATTTCTTTATGTTCTGTCGGAAAATAATAATTGGAGCAGTTTTTCTCTCAGTTTTGGATTATGGTGATGTGGTCTATAGGCATCACCACTGCATTCTACGTGATAAAGTTGGTTGGCCCTCCCTCACTGAAAGACGCAATAACAACTGGCACATTTTCTTTAACAATAAAGTACTTACTGGAAAGCTTCCATCATATATCATCTCATTGTTACATCTGAACCCTGGTCCATTTTTAACTCGCTCGAGTGAGAGGTTGGTTCTCCAGGTTTCTTATGCCAGGACTGACCTGGGGAAAACTGCTTTTAGTGTTAGTGCTGCAAACTCCTGGAATATTTCACAACAGGACCTGAATTTGAGCACTTTAATCCCTTATGGACACTTTAGAAATATTATTTTTAACCGTCCAATACCTGACTGTAACTGTTTTATTTGATTTTAATTTCTGACTTATCATTGTAGTAATTTCAAGCTTTTAAATTATTTTAGTGTATATATTTTATTGTTCTTATTGCTCTTTTATTGATTTTATTTTCTGTAGTAGCTTTATCTTATTTCTCGTTTTTTATCATTTATGTATGTTTTCTCGGCATCATTGTAAATGAGGGTCGCCCTCAATGATCTCTCCGAGAACTTACAGTAATAGGTTGATGATGATGATGACAACAGGTTGCCTATGTGCATTAATCTTTATCCTGTATAATGTGTGTCAATAAAGCGTAATTTCTAGTGCGCACATATTCTCGATTGTTCTTAAAATGTTTCCTTTTTCTGTCTGAATGCCTTTTCTTACATAATAAGTTTAATGTCCAAAAGCAAACAGTGTTACTGAAGTGTAAAAACGAAACTATTGCCAGATGCCACTGTCATCTTAACTGTACAAACAATAAAAAAAAATAAAAAAATAAAAACTGGGCAAGGCTGAAATACAGTATGTTAGTGTTTTACGTTTAAAATGACAATATTACATTTTTGTATTCAACACAGCACTTCAGACATCAACCTGATGTTTGGTAATCATTAGACATCAAGTTATTTCTCGGTGATTACGTCAGTTTTTAAGACTCGTGGTGTACGATCTGTGGTTCATGAAGACATCCGTAACATGGCTCAAATAAACATGTTCACATTGACAAATATTTACAAGACAACAAAAGAAAGTGGATTTCAGTATTATTGAAATCAAGTTTCATCCTCACCTGTTATTACTTTCATAAAGTCTGATTGTAAATGAATAGTTAGTTTTAACAAAAAAAATAAGACATTTAAAACGACATTTATGTTTAAAAGTCTTGATTTGTGCATCAATTTTACAAAATGATGCTAACCAGGGAAAGTTGAATACGTCAGCTTTACTCATAATTACTGAAATTTAAAATCTTTGTTCATGTTTGTTCTTTGTGTGTGTGTGTATGTTTGTGTGTATGTGTGCGTGTGTGTGTGTGTCTGTGTCTTAGTGATGCACAATGTGCAGCTCTTTGTACTTCAAGATGAAACATCTTTACTTTGTAGAAATTGAAGGTGCAGTCTGCACTTACTTACACTGATCAGGCTCACTGTGCTGCAAGAAGCCCATTCATTATAGTGTATACATCTTTTCAATTACCTGGAGAGTGCTTAAAATGAATCTTACTTTTACAAGTCTTAAATCTGGTCAGCACGTTAGTAAAAAAAAACTTGACTTTTGGTTACTTAGCAGCAGCTGAAAAAGGAAACTGGCAGCTTTAATCCAGTTTAGTATTTCTAATGCAATTTCATTTTCACCCTTTTGTCATTGTACTTTTTCTGAAAAACAAAAAAGGGCAACCAAAATAGCTCCTTCCTAATGAGTATCACATTTCCTACTACACTTCTCCTAAAGAGCTCTGTCTGTCTGACACAGGACATTAAGAAATGTTGGCAGATTCATGAAGGGGTTAAATCCTCATCGCAGGTTTAGGATAAGAAGGGGAATCTCATGAACCGTGACATAAGGGGAACCTCACATCCCTTGATCCTTCTGTTATACAGTCCCCATGGACATTGTTAAGGTTCTTTCAGTATTGTCATCCAAGAATAGAATAAAAGGAAAGGTGAGAGCAGGAATCTCATGTTCGGGCCATTTTGTGAAGTCCTGGTGAGTTGTGATAATTCTGGAAGAGAGAGAGGAGAGCAGACTGTGTGGTTAAATACATCTGTCGCCCATATAAAATATAAGGTTACTAAACCCTTATATGTCATTACGATGTGCAGATGCCCCCTTTCCCAAGTAGACAGCGCTAACCGCTGTGTAGCATCAACAGTAGAAAGTGCTACATAAAGTCAGCATCTTCACGTCCTGCCTAATCGTCCTGCAGGCGTGAGGTACACAGCCACAAGCAGACAGAGCTTTTCTTTAACATATGCTGAGAGCCTGAGGGAGAAACTTCTGTCGAGTTATAAATGTCTTCATAAATCTCCAGTTGTTGTTTTTTTTAATATCAGAACATAAACAAACTCAGTGATGGTGAGCCCAGCCCAGTGAGGACGGTGGCTTACGCAGTGTGGCCAGCTACAGGAACCTTCCCCAGAGGACGTTGATTGCTTGATTCAATAGTTCTGATCCCACATACACACCACTGACCTACCCAAGTAGTAGACATTTACACTGAACACAAACATCTGGATTATTCCCCCCCAGAATTGAACTCTTTTGAGCTTCACAACTCTTCTCTACTGAGGAGCATTCAAGTTTCGACTCCAACTCGAAGGGACAACTTCTTTTGTTGTTGTTTATTTTTATGAAAATCTATGTTTTATGGTTTGTATACATGTTTATTGATGCTGAAAAGTGGCATTAAAAATTGTCAACTGTTCAAACCAACACCCTCCGAGAGTCAATTAAGTTGTATCCTCCTGTAGGACCTAGATTCATGTTAGTACCTCATCTATCTAACCATCGGTAGTATAAAAGTTTACACAAATATTTTATATTTTGTGAGGACAAACCAGCCTGTCCTCAGTGAGAATTCTTTAAACATAACAGTATCAACAATAAACTAGATAGTATTAGAGGAACGTGATTTCTGCTTTACAGCTCATGGACAAAACCACTGAAAGTGATTAACGAGTTCATACAATCAAAAAAGCGGATATAATAAAACAATCCCCTCTCTCACCCTCATGGCCGTAGATATCCAGGGCAGAAATCTGGACACCCGAGTGTAGACCCCAGGTTTCTTTGCCATGGCACAGCCCGTTCCCCAGCTGACCACGCCCAGCAGACGATACCGATTAGTTTTAGACAGGCAGTCATCTGCCACAAACGGACCGCCGCTGTCTCCCTGAAACCATCGACATACTTTATAAGTCAGGCAAAAATACATACATAGTATACTTAAATACATTCATATCAGTGATGTGCGGGAATACGATTATAAAAAGAAGTAAAACCTGAACAAATAAACACACAAACACAGTCACAATCTTACCTGGCAGGCATCAATGCCTCCTTTGTCATAACCTGCACAAAACATGCTGGTGGTGATCTGGTTGTCATAGTAATCAGGAGCGTTACAGACATTGTCACTGATGATCGGGACATTTGCTTCCTGCAGAACATCTGCTTGATGACCTTAAGTAAGAAATATCTCAGTCATTAACAGTTAAAAACCATATATGAAAGTGAATTTATCTTTCTACTGAGTCCTGAACTTTTAAAAATGTCAGACTCATTAACTCAGAGTGAGAAAATTAAATACAGCAAACTAATGCAGAAAAGCAAAATAAGGATGGAGAGGCAACATTTTCAAGCAAAACATTTTTTTATTAAAAAAAAAAAAAAAAAAAGGCTTATATCTGACAATATCTAATTTCACTTCAAGTGGTCAAATGTCAACTCACCGTAGTATCCGACATTACCCCAGCCTGTAACAGTTCCCATCTGTCCGTCTATCAGTCTCTGACCATACGCTGGCAGGCAAACAGGCTGGATGTGTTCTGGGGTCCACACACAAAGGTATTAAACATATGAGCATTATAATATCTAAAAAACACTTAAACACAATCATCTAAACTTTTGTCACAGTATTGAAAACAAACAAAAACATCGAGACATTTGAAGTATTGAAATATATGAAGTCCCGGATCAGTTAAACAAAACAATAATTAAGCATGAGAAGTCATACTGTTTATAATAAAGGATCTGTCCATGTCCTCACATTCAGTCATGGAACATTTATTACTGGAGAAATTAGTTCAGGGAGGGTTGAGAGACTCTGGAACCAACATGTACAGTAGAGACGTGTATGACATGTTCAAACATAACACCTCCTGTCTGAGTCCAGGCTGAATGAATGACATAAAGGTTCAAGCTTTACACTTGGGCTACACAATTAAATTAATTACAATCAAAGCTGTCATATTTCCAAGTGTAAAATGTAAATGCACAGCTGGATTTTTTCAATAACTGTAAACTTTTATGATTTTAATTAGTAACTGTAGTGATGATGAAATAGCCTGGCCTTTAAATCTTTTTTTCTATTTACTGTGTTTTCCTAAACCCCAACAAATACCACATTGACGTTTTGATGTTTTAAGTGTAAACAATACCAGCAATACACACATTCTGTTTAACCATCACTTAGTGATCATCACAGTCACAATGTCTTTAATTGCAATATCTCTTTTTTATAAGCCTTACATTTGCACTTGTGTACTGAACAGGGTGTAACGGGGAACAGGAATTTGTTTGATTTTAAACCAATAGTGGACTTTGTGCTGTTGCTGTAATTATGAACACCAGACACCAGATGGCAGACATGAACTACTGAACCATTTCTAACTTTTCTTCTGCTTCATAGTAGGTCATGATATTTTCTAACAATAATGACTCAACAGTATGATGAAGCCTTTCAAAGCCTCCTTGTGTAAACACTGCTTCAGACAATTTGTCCATACTGTTTCTTTATCCTGATCAGATCATGCAACAATACAATATATATCTGCACTGTGATATTTGCTGATAACCCATTAAGCATGTAGGCCTAGATTTATTTAGCTTCTTGACTATCACAATTGTATAAATAGATTGCTCCGTTAAACACTCTTAAAAAAAGCAAAATGATTTTGAAAATCAATTTCTCATCAATCTTTTCACAAGCTTCCTCAGATTCCAGTAACATTACAAAGGAAGCAAAAGATTTGCTCTAAAAGTATCTTACCTCAGTGTTTAGGATTGATAAATAGTTATGTTGAATAAAGGAACTTTGGGAAACAGGCAACCTCCAGATAGTAAATAACCAAACGACTGACTCTTGTTGAGTCTTTCTTTGTCATCCCTCCTATTCGTATCTGTTGATTGTTATTATGTATTCCTATCCTTGTGTGTTGATGAGTGTGTTTCTCAGGTCAACAATTATGTCTATAAGTTGTTATGAAACCTACCGTTAAAGGTGAGGGGCTGGGTAAGGGCCAGAACAGCGATGTCTCTACTGTTATCATCAATATTAGGGTCTACAAAGGGCAGGTAGCTGCTGTGGTACACGATGGTCTTCACCTCCACCAGGTTACCGTTCCCTGGTTTATTATAGATGGAGCCCAGCAGCACACGCCAGCGGTTAACGAAGCGATGCCGCCTGACACAGAGGAGTGACAGAGGAAAACATTATAATGCCTGATAAGAGTATTATCATACAATGTACACAGATACACCTCCATTACTGTAACACAGACAGAACCATCACTTCTAGACTGATGGAAAATTAGACATCAACACGGAAACAAATTCATGTTTGCAAAACTGAGCATAAGAGTTAGTTGTTCAGATTATTTCTCATTGTGTGTTAATAATATAGACTCTATATAAGAGGTGACGCAGTCTTTATGTTTCAAAAGCAAGATCAATACAAAGTGAACAAATCCAGCATTCTTTCTAATGGCCAGCAGGGGGCGAGTTCAAATGTCAAATGTATTGACAGACAAGTTTAAAAAGCATGCTTCTCAAACAGCTGATTTACCTCCTCAGTTAACCTGACTGTGAGGAAAGAGAGTCTTTTTAATAATGCTGCCTCCATAAAACCTTCAAAAGTAACCAAGACCAACAGAGAGTTACGTTTTTTTTTCATCTGTCACATCTGTCATCAGCTTGGCGATGAAGCAATTTATAGAATGCAGACTGAAAAGCCTTTTTGTTCATTTTTATTGTCATTATCCATCCGACTGATATGTTATATGAAACCAGAAGGAGACCTTTTTTTACAGAACAGGATCTTCAGAGAGATGAGAAGTACCGAGTGTTGAAAATTGAACACAAGCTGTAAGTCCTTTGTTTCGGCTCTATCATTTTCTTCATGATTTATTGTCTATTTTGCATTTATAAGTCATTTCATGCAGAATGGTATTCTTTGTATCCTATTGTCACTACATCACCGACACATCCAACAATAAAAAGGTGTAGCATGAGTATCCACCCACCTGCCTAATGTAGTCACTTTAGGCTCCAAAAGACAAGTTGAGGACAAGGAAATATAACATGGGGTGAGGCGGTGATTGACTACATCTACTTATATACAGTCTTTGGTCTCAACTGAAAGATACAATCAATTTTTAACAGTGTCTTTAGTTTTTTTTCTCTCCCAGATATGTGCCAAAATTAAGAATATCTTAAAATGACAACAATCACTTCAATTCAAATGTGATGTCAGTATGGTTTCAGGATGGATCACTTACTCTGGGAAGCAGTGAGCTGCAGACACAATCCATCGGTCTGAGATGATGGATCCTCCACACTGATGGACCCCATCGTATTGCAGGCTCACCTGCCACGGCCAGCTGCCCTGCCTTGCATCCACACCATTAACTATGCGGTCTGCTGCAAAACTACGCCTGCCGCAGTCTGCAGAGAATGTTAATGTCTGGATTAACTCAATGTGATGCAAGAATGAGAACAGTTAAGTCAAATGAAATAATGGCAGATTTAGAAGAAAAAGAACGTAATGAACAGTGACAGGCCCATGTTGATAAACGTATGTGTTAGAAAAGTTTGTCTGAGTCTGAGATTGGAGGGGGGTCTGGGTTATCGGAGAATAAAGTGTGTCAGTGTGTCAGACAGAACAAGAGCAGATCTGAGATCACATCTTACCTTGGCACAGGAGTGTGAGAACCTCCCTGCTCTCACAGTCACTGAAAAAAAGACACACAGAGTTATATCACACCAACGAACAAAGAGAGGACATCCAAACTGTAAAGTTCTCTCCTTGTAAACCGAGGAGGCAGGACGAGGAACAGTGAGGATAGTGAGACTGTTGTTAGACAGTTGAAGGATCAAACAGGCAAGTGTTTATTACCATGGAAACAATGAGTCTTTGATTTTCTTGCCATAGCTGAGCTCTTTCTCTCTGACGCAGAAGAACTCCCCTCCGTCTCCACTGGCCTCAGGCACCAACGTAAGGGAGTAATTCACCACACTAAAACAAACGCATTGTGTTGTATAAAATTTTGCTTCATGAAGACAGTGAGGTGTAATTGTGAAAATGCTCTCACCTGACAAAGCCCATTTCTTCACAGCTGATGCTAGCTAGAAGCTCGTCTGCTGAGGAGGAGCACACCTGACGCCACCTCCTCTGGGCGGAGTCAAAGACTCTGAGGCGTTGGTCAGGAGAATTTACCTGAACTTTAGGGGATAATAAAGGTTTGTTTTCAAACAAGCTTAATGCAAAAACAAAGTCCTGCTTACAAGTATCCTACATGTATTTCTTCCCCCATTGTAACTGAAATGATCAACAAAGAATTCTTTGTGACACCAGGATCTGGGCTTATTGTGGATCTGCAACTAATTAAAAAGTCCTTCTTTGTTTGTCTCAGACAGCAGTGGAAATATATCATTCAGGTTCAGGTAGTTTAAACATCTTTACAATGGTCTCAATGATCAATGATTATGGCTATGAAAGCTAACAAAGTAGATTTCTGAGCTGTAGTGAAAATAAAATATGTACACTAAAATTACCAAGTCAAGTTACTGTGGCTTGAATGAATGAACATTTATAAATATTCTATATTTTGAAAACATTTGTATGTATGACTGCCTGCAAATCTTTAAAGGAAGAATGTGCAACTTTTTGATAGTAGTTATCACCATTAAGAGCAGGCCGCAGACAAAATTGTCTTTTGCACAAGCTGCAAATGCCTGTGGTCTGCATTGTTGTGTTAGCAGGCTAATGTTAGCGCACTTTGGTTAACTTATAGTTTCACATTGTACATAAATTGACACAGAATGACCATGATCTAAACACATTTACGGGACATTCAAATAAGCAGTGAGTATGTTATTCTTCTTTTCTCAAGTCCTTGACTAAAATAGCTTTCTAAGCAAGGCCGCCTTGTCCATGTTAAAATGATGTAAACACATCTCCGACAACTGTACAGATAGATGGCACTCTCACTTACTGTAGACAGTCATGACTCAGAGATACATTTACATAGGATGTACTTGATTTCTGCTATATTTATGTGTAAAACGTTGCACATTCTTCCTTTGATGCTGGGTTACATGTGACTGCAGGAAGTGATGAGAGTATTGTAATCCAGGGGATCAGAGCGCACTCTGCTGGATTAAGTGATGTGTTTGTTTTTTATGTTCAGTTAAACAAGTTTTCACATGAGAACAGAGTCAAAAATCATTTGAAAACATTCACCCTCTCCATGCTTACCATCATACAGTCCTGTGTCTTCCTCCATTGTGCAATATGTCACTACAAACGGGTAGAAAAACAAACAAAAGTCAATAAAACAAATTAGAGAATGAACAGCCAACACACTTTTTAAAACCCTGCTACATCGTCTTGTTTACTCTTAAAGGGACAATTACTTACAAAATAGGTATAATGCTTTATTAAGGAAACTCCAAACCAGTAATTGAGACTATACATCAAAAGGAACATGTTTCCAGGGGTTATAAATCAATGGCCAGTAGGATCACGTATCAGAGATTATACACAAGCTGCATCCTTATTATTCATCTCTATGTGTGTGTGAAAGCATGTGGTCTGACCTATGGCCCAGACGGCTGCTCCAATGGCTCCCAGGGTCATCAGGACCACACACACCCCAATGACACGACAGGGGGTTAACACACAGGTCAGAGAGATTCCCCTGCTCCCTGTAGATGCAGACACACACACACACACACAGACACACGGTCAAGTGCACATATATGTGACTGCAGCACTCAAGCCTTCAACAGTAAATAATATTCTATCACACAGGTGGCTGAAGAGAGGGCAAAGGCTAAATATTATTGAGTTTATATGTCTAGATTTTATTCGATATTTGGATGCTAGTGTTTAATTTGGGCTTTTTTTTAGGGGGGGGGGGGTCTTAAGCCATCCAATAACAAACATCAGCAAACTGGCTGCTGTCAGCTCTCTGTCCTGATGTGAAGGGGCATGCAGCACTTTCCTGGCACAGATAGAAAAGTACAAATGACACTGATGAGATCAATAGTCTAAAGTCTACCATTTCTCCACAAAGCAAGAACAAACTTTTAAACGAAGATACGGTGCCATGTCTGTGCAGCGTGCATGTATATAAGTGTGTGTGCCCCTGCATGTGAGTGTTATTCTCAGTGTGTGTCCCACTCTGCTCCGAGCAGAGTTTTGTCAACTCGACCTACAGCTAAGAGTTTAAACACACTGTAGCAAAAGAAGTTGAAGAAAGCACTGCCAGTGTGATTATTCAAATGTATAAATCCATCCAACTGTGCCAGTTTCAGAGTCTTATTGCTGTGCATGCTGACTCACAGTCATGAGGGAACTTGTGAAGTCCCATTTCTCCCATTTTTCTTCTTTTCATCTCAAGGTTTTCTTTTTATGCTGTTAAAAACTAACTTCAAGGAAAGTAGGAGAACAAACAAAAATGCAAATATTATTAAACACTCAAAAATCTTCTGTTCATGTAATCAGCCTGAAATGCCCTTTTCACTGAACTGCTTATTATACAACCCTGTTTCCTAAAAAGTTGGGATGTTGTGTGAAAGGAAAGCAAAAACAGAATGTGATGATTTGCAAAAGATTAAGACCCCATATTTAATTGGAACAACATGTCATATGTTCACACTAAGAAATGTTGTTGTGTTTTGGAAAATGATATGCTCATTTTAATTCCAATGCCAGCAACAGGTTTAAAAAAAGTTGGAAAAAGGTCATGTTTACCACTCTGTTGCATCACTTTGTCATTAGCATTTGGGATCTGAGGAGACCTACTTCTCCTCAGGTCCAAAATAATGTTTTACCATTCTTAAATGCTTTATGTAGAACTTTGTAGGACTGTTCAGCAGTTCGGGGTCTCCTTTGTCTTATTATACGCTTCTTAACGCTCCAAACATATTTAATGGGTGACAAATCAGGACTGCAGGAAGCCAGTTTTCACCTGACTCTTTCATCATGAATTAAGTGTCTTCAAAAACAAGTTGTCTATTTGGCAGCTTATATACCTTACTAACTGAGATGTTCCGTCAGGTGTTTTTTAAGATTTTTACAACTTTTTAAGTCTTTCGTTGCCACTATCCCAACTTTTTTGAAACATGTTGTTGGCATCAAATTCAAATTGGCCGTACAATTTTATAAAAACAATGAAATATCTCAGATTCACATTTGACACACTTTTTTGCAAATCTTCACATTCAGTTTTTATTTACATTTTAGACATTATCCCAACTATTTAGGAGATGGGGTTGTACTTCCCACCATCAACAAAGATTGAAAATCCATGGTCATAATCATCATCATTTTCATATATATCAACAGTGCAGACAAAAGGCTACACCTCTTAACTACAGGAAAGGGTGAGTCATTTTACTGTTGCTTTAAGTTTTATGACTCTACCCAAAAACAGCTGGCAACAATGTTGGTTCACAAAAGGAAAAAAAACCCTATTCCAGTTTTATTTACTATTTCATTTTTCTGGATCTACAAACCCCCTCTTGCATTTGTCACCTATAATTTATAAACTTTTAAAAAAATTCTGGGATGGAAGTAGGTTTGAGTTACACATTGTGGGATGTAAGTATAAGCAAGTGCATCAAACTAAGAATATTATCTTTGACTAATTGTTTAGTTGTCACAGCAGACAAATCACCAGCATCACTAAGGACATTAAAGAGCTCATATTCTGCCCTTTTTGGGGTTTGTATATTTAATCTATGTATCTACTTTTGTACGTTCACAATAGCTAAAGTCCGAAAGTCTGTTTTCATGTACTGCTCCTCCTTGCTCCCTCTACGCTCTGAGTCCGTCAGCTACGCTCTGCTGAGATCCCATGTGGGCCAAGTCTGCTCTGATTGGTCTGCCGATCCACTCTGTCGTTATTGGTCAGTTGCTCAGCACGCTTCTCGGAAATTTCTTTGAGCTGCTGGGCTTGCCACAACGAGCCAATGGATTTGATCTCACACTGACAATGACGTCAGACTGACAAATTGTTTTCGAGGGGGGCTAGAACCGAGCGTTACATGCAGCTAATGCTACAGCTAACAGAAGGAGGTAGGAGAAGCTGCGTTTTCGCGGATTTTTGCACATAGATGTGCCTAAACATGCACAGGACACTTGGAAAACACTCTAAAGGGCATATAAAACCAGAAAAAGCATAATATGGGACCTTTAATAATGGCTTCAGGTATTGTAGAAATCCATGACTGTATCACACTAAGCCCACATGCACTCAACAAAACAAAGCAGCTGTTTTAAATTCAAACAAAATTAACACACAGGCATTCAACCCCTTTCTGCATTAATAACACTCCTTATCTTCTGGAGGCCATGTCTACTAAGCCCCTCTAATGGCCCTGACACACATAAGGAGGGATCACTTCTTCCCAGTGTAAGAAGTAGACAAGTAATAATACAGGCATTTTAGCAGCACATTTGATTTGTCTTAGAGAGCCAAGCAGGTGTTATAAATAGTACTATGATGGCTGCACCAAATACAAGCCTTGTCAATACATCACATGCACAGTGGCAGCCATCATGATGTTATGAAATGTCAAACAAACTGGTATGCAGACAGATAGACTCCAGTAAATGTATTTTGTATTTAATTAAGCAATTGTGTGTTTTAATGTATTAATAATAATACTTTAGATGAAGGAAATAATTAGTTTTCAATGTTGAAATTGATAATGAAACCCAGAGTGGAGTACATTCATATTTGCCATTTAGAGCCTGATAATCTTTAAAAGCAGGGAGAATTAACTATAATTTAGAGGACTGTCTGTTCATTATATTGCATAAGACAATCAGGATTTGAAGTAATAGCTCATATCAATGTGCCAGGAAACAACTGAAGATACAGTAAGTATATGAGTATCCGATCGAGTCAGAGAGAAACACTACATGCCTCATTTCCTTCCTGCTTCTGTCTCTATCGCACGCTATCCTTGCTCCCTCACGACCTCTGTCTTTTTTTTAAATTTTCTGTGAAAACGTTTGAGGAAGAATAATGTACCCACACAGTCGATGAACTGTAACTTAAAGTTTACCAAATGTAAATGTTCATATTCTGAAGGCATTTATTATTCTTTCTTTGGACATATATGAGCCAATCTGACAGCTCTGAACTAAATTGTCTTAAAAATGTGTTCTTCTCTGTTTTGTTCACACCTCTCTTCCTCTATTTGTGCTTCACGTCTGTTACTCTTGTCCCTCTAATACTGGATCCTCTCCTCCAATCATCATGCCTAGAGAAAAATGTGCTATTTGTTCAAACATTTGAAATGTAATTGTTGACCAAAAGGTCAGTGAAGATTTGATTCATGTATGTATATCATACATACATTACCTGATACATCAGAGGGACATTCAGGCTCGTTCATCCAGATTGTATTTCCCAGAAAATACCCCAATGTTTCCTCCACACACTCCAGCACAAACACCACTAGTCTGGCCATCCTGCTCATTCCCAAATCTCCTTTCTTCTTTTTTTTTCTCCTGCTCACTTCCCCCAGCTCTGTGTTCCTGATCACAGAGCAGGACAGAACAAACACTCTACGGTATTCATTTCTACCTGAGACCACGTTCTGTTGTGTATATGTGAGTCTGCATGCATGTGTCATGAGTCAGGGCTCTCCTGAACTCAGGGGCCTCACGTGCTGTGTCGGCTAAAATAGTCAAAGTCTGTGGGCAGTTGTGAGTGCACTTCATATTTTGTGCGGCTTGTATTTTCATAATACAAATACTGAAGAACCGTTGTGAAGGTCCATTAAGTTCATCGCACTGGTTGATGATAAACATATATTTAGTCATTTACCTAGCACCTACACAAAGTGTGTGTTTATTGAACCTTAAATGTTGACGAAAGTTAAATTCTGGATCAGTAACATTAAATCCATGCAGTTTTAATACCAATCATGTAAGACATACTATTTAAATTATGCTTTACTGGTCCATAACAATGGTGATAGTGTCAAGCTATTCAACAGCTGGATCTATACATATAATCGAATAATTAAAGTTTATCTAAACACTGTGCATTCCTGTTAATCATTTCAGAGCTTCAAGCAAGTTACAAACTAACTTATTCGCGCTCAATTTGGGCTTAAAAACCATACATTGGTAACAAATAAGAGTAGTAATATGTACCGCTGTTTCTGTACATCAGGTATATTGTTCAATACCACTCCTTTAGGGTTTAGCCACAGCGTGACTGCATCGTTTCTTTCAGTGTTTTTTTTTCACCACTGCTGTAAACAAGCCTGGCAAGAGAGGTCAGAATGATTCATCGCTTACAGTTAGTGACCAATCGACAGAGATTTAATGTACGCATCAAAGTTTTATTTTGGGTTATGTCCACCCTCATGGATGAGTAACATGACCACACAGAAGCAGCACGATGGAAAAGGTTCACTACGCCTTTGACTCATCCTCTAGGATATCCTCTCTCACACCGTAGTGTTAAACGGAAAAAGCATCTGCGTAGCAGACGAGATGTGAGGCTGGCCACATACTCCCAAAAGCCAAAATGGACAAGCTGATGACTGTTATCCATAGAACTACATTTATTGTGACTTATCATCTTTGACAAAAATCCTATGTCCTATAACAAAAAACTGATTTTTATCAGACGTGAAGCAGAAGTGTATTTTTTCCTGAGGCGAACTCCCTGGATCATTCTTGGCACGCATGCGTCA